CGCTATGACCATGCCCCTGGTTTTCCGATCAGGCAGATGTGGTGTCTTACATGCTCATTGTCTCAGGATGTAAAATTCTGCTTACGTGGCATAGCAGCTATGCTGGGCGCGCCATGTTTTCGCCGGTTCGTGGGCCCATCCGACCCAAGCAGACCCTTTTTTGCAATTGCTATGGCACTGCTATCCAGCTTTTTTGAATTTTGTGCGAGTTCGTGTGTATACGTGGTAAGCCTTGAAGGGAAGCTATTTGCAGGCTGACTCCTTGAGGACTTGAAAGAAGGTTACATCCAATGTCTGCCGGAATTGCCGGGGATACGGGCCGCGGGGACACAGGCCCAGGGTTACCGTCTCACCTTGCGTTTCCCACAACCCCTTGAGTACCAGTATGAGGCATGTCCTGTGCTCCAGCTGCGACGGCACCGGCCTAGGTTACGGAATAGAAGGGAAGGATACATCAAGGGTTGCGCCGCTCAGGACTAAAGCTCTTACTTGGCCTCCTTGTTTTGAAGCTGCCCTATGTAGCTTGGCTTTATAAAGGGTTGAGGGCTTGCTGAAAGGGGCAGAGCTCTGACTTTCACATGTCGGGTAGCAGAGTGATATGCCGATGTTGCATTCAAAGTTGCGCTGTGTTTGCCTTGGCCTGAAGGCTCACATTAGCAACTTGAAACGATGCTTTGTGCCTAGTGGGTGGATCGGCTTTGAACAAAGTTGCAGGATTTCCACACCAGCACTTATAGGAACCAGCTGGGGAACCACCCACCCCCATAGAAATCAACTCTAGCAGGCCGGACATATCCTTAACTGTTAGGCACTTCATGGCACATCGGCCTTCTTGGAAAGGCCGATCTATTTCATATTTGGCAAGACAAGCATCTTTTAGGAAATTTTTAGTCCCCCCATTAGAATCAACAATTCAAAGTCATTCAATTCTGCTCTGTACGCACAACAGCTTGGCACCGGGTATGCGCCGGGAACAGACGTAGCATGGGCATATGCTATTATGCGTAAGATGTACGTTGGGGTGGGAAACGGCTTTTGCAGTTGACCATGCGGTTGCACGGCAAACAGGAAAAGTATGCGAGGTCCATCTGGGCATGTTCATCAGCTTTATTGCAAGCTGAAAACCTTTTACGAAGCCTCTTGTCCTGACACGGCACCATGCATCACCATCACCATGGCTGGTGAGGGAATGATTTGAATGGCACATCTTACATCTTGGCACCACTTCTTTTCAGCGCCTCGCATTTCCTGAGGTGTTGCAGCACATCATGGCATTCGAGCCGTATGGCTGTACAGCCAGACATGCTGGCACAGGGAAAGCCTGACCATGTCAAAGTGTTCTCGGCCCATGAGCACAACGCAGTACTTTGCATAGGTAAACGGCTGACAACATTTGGTCAAACAGCTTGTTTCTGCTAACGTGACAGCTCAGGCCTTAGGCATATCCTGCTGGGTGTGCAGATCCCTGGTTTCGAGAGTCCCCCTCTAAGGATATGCCTGTGTGACACGAAGTCAGGGACCCGTTGCTGCTCAGGAAGTGCTGCCAACCACCAGCATTTCCGTCCTTCTTTGGTTAATTACAAAAGACAAGAAACCCGAAGGCAGTGGGGCGTTATGGCTCCTACAGCTACTGCTGCTGCAGCTGCCTGCTTCAAGACCACCACCCGCCGCCACCTTCACCTTCACATGCCAAAGCAGCAGCAGCAGCAGCAGCAGCAGCAGCAGCAGCCATAGCCCCAGCAGCACTGACACGGCAACGGCAACAGCAAAACCACCAAACACCGCTGTGCCGTTGTGGCACTGCCGCTGCCGCCACAGTCGCAGCTTCATCGCCACTGCGACCACACTCAACTGCAAGATGTATATGGTAAGAGTGTTTATTTTGTTTGTTGTCTGGTCTTTTTTGTTGTTTGGGCTTTTCGGGTGTCATTTGTTTTGCTGTTTGGGTGGCGGCGTGTTTACTTTTTGCTGTTTGGGCGGGGGCGCGGGCCCCGCCCCAACAGCAAAAACAAAAAAAAAAGGCACAGCCCAAACAGAAAAAAAATGAAGACGCCCCCGCCCCTTCCGAGCGTGTTTTGTTTTTGTTTTTTGCTGCTTGGGTGCGTGGGCGTGTTTGTGTTTTTTGCTGTTTGGGCGGGGTGCGTGTGTTTTTTTTGCTGTTTGGGCGGGGGGCGTGTTTTTTTCTTTGCTGTTTGGGCGGGTGCGTGTTTATTTTTTTGCTGTTTGGGCGGGGGCGTGTTTTTTTTTTGCTGTTTGGGCGGGGGTGCGTGTCTTTTTTTTTGCTGTTTGGGCGGGGGACGGTAGTTCACTCACTTACCGGTCTGCCTG